AATATAAAATAATAATTCCGGTAATTAGATTCTTATCGGTTTAATATAAAATAATAATTCCGGTAATTAGATTCTTATCGGTTTAATATAAAATAATAGGCTATTTCCAGGTAATGAAAATATTGGTAATTAAATTCTAATCAAACAGAAATAAAATTAATATTATAATAATAACGGAAATTAAATTGATGGTATTAAAATCATTATTTAATTATTATATTATAATATAATTAATAAATCATACTAAATCCATCACTTACCCATATGATGTTGTCTCCAAACGTTAGACAACACCCATCAACTGCTTGTGAAAGATAGATTTATATCAGATGTAGAATATGTATATCTGATTGTATATGTTGGGTGTCTCCCACTAAATACTATATTTTGTTAGGTGATAAGGAAAAATGTTGACCGTTAGACAACGCCCTGGCAGATACATCAGGCCGATAGAATGATAAGTTGTTATTTGAACTAATGTTAAATATTGATAAGAAAGCATTGACGCAACATATAACTGATAGAGTACGGGTGTGTCACTACAGATGGTATCAACATACATGTGTATATGTATATTAAGAGCTAGAAATAGTTTGAGTGTTATGTCAAAGTCATGGCTGCCTTTGAAGTAAACACTAGCACACCGGGTCAGATTTGGACCGACGATCTCAATACCGACTTAAACGGTAATCCTATAGCTAAGGAGGAAAATTGGGAAGACCATATGCTGAGAAGGCTGACGATGGCTCCTAGAAAAAGGATCACCAACCTGAAGCTAACAAATTTTCTTCACGAGAATAAACGTTACATGAAAAAAGAGTTTGCTATGCCTAGCGAACGTATTTGTCATTACCTATTTGACAAAAAACAGCGGGTTGTTACCTTGTACACAACGGAATCTGGAGAGCCGCACAGTCTGGATGACCCCTGTCTGATCTTACCAGTTAAAGACTGGTTCTTATTCTACAATCATGTCTGGCCTGATATCCAGAATTCTAAACAGGAGCCGTTGTTTATCGCCGAGTGGGATTCTGAAAAACCGAACAATCGATTTCGAGTGGTTGGAAACAACTGTGAAAAGAATCCTAAAGACTGTATTTTCATATTCTTGTGCGATGACAAGACAAAGCTTCGTGAGCGTTCTGGCATAATACATGCTGATGAGCATAACGAGCGATATGAAATGTTGCTCCCCATCCTCTGGCAAGACGTCAACAAGCTGTCTGAAATTTTTGCCACCATAAACCAATTGTTTAAATGGTGTGACATGAATGATCGATACAAGGATATTAAAGTTCAGCTGTTTCACCCCCAGAGGTCTGTGCGACGAGGGAGGGAACACTCCCAACTGTCTCCGCCCATCTACTACGAACATAAAAACCCATAATCAACAACTGTTCACCACAGTACTACAACATGTCTCAACAACTCTCTTCAGAATTTGGTATCTTCAAGCCTGAGGATATCAAAGCAATTCCTCCTGATGAAAACGCTTTGCCATGCTTTCCGAAATTCGGAACTTCTGCATTAGATCGCGACTTACCATGCTTTGAGCTATTCAAATCTTCTGAACCGGACAACGATGAAAAAAACTGGCTGGATAAATTTTGCACCGAACTAGGATACCGTAACCTGACATACCTGACCAACAAGTACAAAAAAGATGACGATACAAAGTTTGACGTCACAGATGGATGTTTCTGCAGTTCCGGTTTCAAGATCATAAAAGCGCTGATCGCTGTGCTCATGCAACACATCATCAACGCTCAGCTGAAAAAGGAATGTGAGGGTTGTGCTATCGACCACCCCAGCCAGCTGCAACACTCCTGTCTGTTTGAACCCTCACCATTCTACTTCGACTCTCACTTTGGAACACTCGTCAATAAACTGATCAAACCTGAGTTTCACACTGCTGTGTCACAGGCTATGATGCGTGTTGGTTTAAAGTCACAGCCTCAGACGATCCACGGAACAGCCCTGGGTATTCTACACGAATTGAGGAGCGAACCATTCATCGTTGCAAGACTGGAAGACATCAGAACCAAGATTCTGGACGACTCCTGTGAGAAAATCGTCAGTGACGCTGTCGATTTCTGGCACCGCAGTGGCTAGACCTCAAACCAGCTGAAAACATCAGAATGGGAAACACATGTAAACCTGGCAAGATACTTGAAAACTTTTTATTAGAGTACTATAAAAATCAGTTAAAGGGTCTTTTATGTAAAGTCATTAATGATTCCACGAATGATGATCGTTTATCACAATCCAAACGTGTGAAGAATTTAAAAAAAGAAATGAATGTTATTAGAAGTATGAATAACTCATGGGACAATATGATTGATGTTTGTGTTAATGGTACCGAACCATGTTGTATTATGATTAAAAGAGTTTTAGATGCTATGTCTGAAGTATCTGATCAGTTTAGAGTCGGTGATGTTCTCTGTATGTCTACCTATGTAGCAGATGTATGCATTTCGTTGATTGCAAAAAATGATGATGATGATATATCTGAAATTGTTGAATCTTTGGTCACTTACATTTTATATAAAAACATGTCATCGTGTGTCCAATTTCTTTCTTACCTTGACCGCATGTAACCATTTTCTGATTTGATGTCATGTATGTTTCCTCACTTTAAATAAAAAAAGATTCGTACAAACAATGTTTTGCATTATTCTTTGACATCCATCGAAACAGGACCATGTCTGATATAATGAAGAAAGTTTATTACGACCCATCAAGCCCCGGTGCTTTAGGTGGTAAAAAACGTTTAAAAGATGCTGTGTTTAAGGAAACTGGAGTCCGTCTAAGCGATAAACAGGTATCGCGATGGTTGGCCGGGGAAGACGCTTACACTTTACATAAAACAGCACCCATAAAATACAAACGAAATAGAGTTGTGGTATATGGTATGGATACCCAATTTCAAGCCGATCTCGTCGATATGACGGCCTATTCTACAGAAAACGACGGTAATAAATTTATGCTAACTTGCATTGATGTATTCAGCAAGTATGCATGGAGTCGGGTGTTGAAGAATAAGAGTGGAGTCGAAGTTACTAAAGCGTTCGAGTCTATACTCGAAGAGGGTCGTGTCCCACGGAAATTACAAACTGATCAGGGAAAGGAATTTTTCAACAAACATTTTCAAGATCTTATGAAAAAACATGATATTAATCATTTTGCTACGGCTACTGATTTAAAGGCAAGCGTTGTGGAGCGATTTAATAGAACATTAAAAAGTAGAATGTGGCGATTTCTAACGGCCACTAATTCACGGCGTTACATCAATGTCTTACAAGACATTATGACAGGATACAACAACAGTTATCACAAGACTATTAAGATGAGACCCGTTGACGTCTGTAAAGAAAATGAAGCTACGGTGTTTCAAAACTCTTACGGTAACATAAAGATTCAGAAACCAGTGTTCAAATTTAAAGTCGGTGACGTGGTTAGGATTTCTAAAGTGAGAGGCCCCTTTGCCAAAGGTTACGAACAAAACTATACCGAAGAATTTTTTACCGTTTCTGAATGTATTCCACGCCAACCACCCGTCTACAGACTCAAAGATTATGACGGTGATGTTATCGAAGGAGTTTTTTATGAGCAAGAGATACAGAAAATATTTGTAAATAAAAACAAATCCTTCAAAGTGGAAAAGATTTTAGGCGAGAAAAAGCAAGGCAGGTCTACACTTGTTTTAGTGAAATGGTTAGGATGGCCATCGAAATTTAATAGCTATATCGACAAAAAAACCCTGGTAGACTTGCAAAAACCTTAAATTTCACATTTCCTTTCATGCCTATTAATATTATACAAATCAAGCTATGGACAACAACAGGTTCTACGTTACGCTCCCATGTAACGCTTCTTTATCCGTTTATCCAGAAAATCGTATATCTAGTTATAAGACTAATTTGTCTAAAACTATACACCTGAAAGGGGAATGGGAAGTAGCGCTCGCTGAAATTGAATATCCAAGAAGTTGGTATAATATTACAGACGATGATGGTATCTTCAACCTAAACATGTACCCTGACCATGATAATGAAGAGAAAAAAAAACTAGAAGCAAATGTACTATCAGATCTACATGGTTTCTATGTTTCCAGGCGTTATCAAATACCCGGAGGATACTATAAGGATATACCGGCTGTGATCAAAATGATAAACGATGTAATCAAACCATCAGGGATATTGTTTTACGATGAATTAAAAAATAAAATTAATCTGATTGCAAAACCTAACATTTTTATAGGTTTCTATGAGAAACTAGGAGCTATATTAGGAGTGAGACCTGAAGAGGGACTAGGTCAAACGGCCTACCATGAAAAAGCTGATTTTACCAGGACCGTCAGCACATATGCACCTCATCAAGCCGACATCAAAGGTGGATTCTACACATTATATGTCTACACCGATATCATCGACTACCAATCAGTCGGTGATTCATACGTTCCACTTTTAAGATGCGTACATATAACCGGTGAAAACAACGATATCGTCAGTGTCAGATACGACAAACCGCATTACGCATCGGTCAACAAATCGATCATCACGGACATAAACATAGAAATAAAAGATGATCAAAACCGAGAGGTGAGATTTGCGTACGGTAAAGTTATTGTGAAGCTGCATTTTAGACCGGTGAAACAGACGTCTCTTTAAAAATGCCTTATTACAATACACATCAAAGCGAAATCAGCGATTATGTCAACTACTACCAAAATCAAGCTGGGGGAGGCCTCCCGGGCTATGCAGGCGGTGGTGTCATGTACGGATCAGGCCTGGGAGTGTTATTTAGAGGTCTGTTTAGAATGGCTGTACCCTTGTTAAAAAAAGGGTTCAACATCGCCAAGCCTCACTTGAAATCGGCTGCAAAAAACATAGCATCGGACGTAATTTAAAACGTGCTTTCAAGAAATCATGACGAGAGACAACAAGACGGTTCAGGTCTTATGGTCATGGCCCGTAAGAGAATGTCTAAACCACCAGGGGTCAGGAGGCGTGGTCGTACTATAAAGAAAAAGCGCAACGTCAAGAAAACTTCACTCACACGCAGGAAGCGTAAGAAGACTGTAAGACGAAATACCTTCGCTAAGAGAAACATAAACACCATTTTCTAACATGGCTCTACTCCATCGTATGTCCGGAGAGTGTAATAAGTCAGAGCTTGACTTATTTACAGTACCTTTAACACAGACGGCTATAGAAAAAAATACGTATGTTGAGGTACCTCCTCTATCGGCCATCTCGGATTCGTCGCCTTTGGAGTTTTTTATAGCAGGCTCCGGTGAGGAATACATCGATCTAAATAACACATTGTTGCATCTGAGACTTAAAATCACAAAGCCTAATGGTGGTGAAATAGCAGATCCTGCAAAAGTCGGTTTAATCAATTACCCTGCCGCCACCATTTTCTCACAAGTCGACGTGAGTCTCGGAGATCGACTAATCTCTCAAAGCTCAAGCACCCACCCGTACCGATGTATCATCGAGAGTCTCATCAACTACGACAAAGACACGCTGGAATCAACATTCAGCGCCGGTCTCTTCTTCAAAGACACGGCTGGTCATATGGATGTCAAAGACCCCTTAGGCAATAATCAGGGTCTCCTGAAAAGGTCAACATACACAAGCAAGAGTAAGATTGTTGATCTGATGGGTCCTATTCACAGCGATATTTTCTTTCAAGAAAAATTAATGCTCAATGGCGTCGATATAAAAATTCGTATGATCAGAGGTAAAGACGAGTTCTGTCTGATGAGGAGTGATGACGTACCATATAAATTAAAGATTGTGTCTGCATCGCTATTTGTCAAGAAAGTATCAGTCGCACCGAACGTTAGACTGGCCCATGCTCAGGCTTTGCTGTCCACCAACGCAAAGTACCCGATTGACAGGGTATGTCTGAAAAATTTCTCCATACCAGAAGGAGCCCAAGTTTCAAATCAGGAAAATCTATTTTTGGGGACTTTACCGAAATCAATCGTCTTGGGGATGACCGATAACGATGCATTTACCGGTTCATATGATAAAAACCCATTTGCGTTCAAACATTACGATTTGGAGTTCCTAGCCATCTACGTCGACGGCCAACAAATTCCTGCTAAACCTCTACAGCCAAATTTTACAGACGGCTCAGTGGTACGAGAATTTTATCAACTCGTAACAGCTACCGGCAGACATCTTAAAAATCATGCACTGTCTATCAGCAGATCTGAATTTGCCAGGGGTTATTCTCTTTATGCATTCAACCTTACACCAGACGAAGACTGTGGTCAACACGTTTCGCTCATAAAGTCTGGAAATATCAGACTCGAAGCCCGTTTCAGACAGCCATTGCCAAATACCATAAACCTCATCATCTTCTCAGTGTTTGACAGTATCATCGAGGTGTCTAACCGAAGACAGATTCTGGTTGATTACTATTAATCGGAAATGAACACCATTCAGCTAAACGCTATCATGGACAAAATTACATGTAACACCCATTTTCTCGGAACTCTGGCATCTGATCAACTACCTGAAAGACCGTTAACAAACTTACCATCGATGGTGATTATTAACACACACCCTTCAGAACTACCTGGGGAACACTGGCTAGCCGTTTATTTATCGGAAGATGGTGTCGGATGTTTCTTTGACAGTTTCGGTAACAAACCGGACAGTGATGGATTTCTAATAGCTATTAAAAACTTTTTAATGAGAAATAGTACAGTGACAAGATATTCTACAAAACGTGTCCAGGACTTTATGTCAAATGTGTGTGGTCAGCACTGTGTTTTTTTCTTGTATCATATGTCTAGGGGTCATGACTACAACTATGTGATGAATCTGTATAGTGAAAATTATGTTAAAAATGACAAAATGGTAGAACTTTTTGTGAAAAAACTAAAAGCTAATGTTTGCAGTGATAACATGTATTTGTGTACCCATTGTGTTCAGACCTGTAATTCTTCCATGATGTATAAATGAATTTAATGAGTAATAAAAAACCTTACAATCATCATCTGTTTGTTGAATTTTATTTCAAGATAGTGATACACAAAACATAAAAAACATGAAACATGTTGACATTAAAAATGCATCCATCGACTCTTATCACGAGTAGGTGAAACAAACATGTCCTCATCTAGTAGTTGTGTCCTTTGCTGATTTTTTCTCTTTTTACGAGTAGTTTTTTTAGTAGACAGAATCTCCTGATCATCGTCAATAGGGTTGTTTTTTAAACTAATAATCTTACTCCGAACTTGATGGTTTGGTACAGTCGAAAAAGGTATGTTTAATTCCGCGCATGCTTGAAGAAACTCAGTCCAGCCTTTAGGTCTTCGGTCATCTCGTACTTGTTGCGGAGCTGTAACGTTGTTTATTAAATCGAGCATGTGTGAACCAGGTATGGTTTTACCCTTAAACACAAACTCACCAGACTCGGACCAGGAGCTGAGATCTTTAGCTTTAGACATTTTGTCTAATATATACTTGCTGTTTTTCACACGTTTTGTCGGAACGTTCTTTAGAACTTCAGAAGTCACATCATCTTTTGACTTGTCTTCAGCATGTGTTTCGTCAGAGTTAACTTTATGAACGTCTTCAGGGTTTGGTAGCGATAGCGTTAAAACACTACTCTCACGATCGCCTAGTTTAACAATTGTTAAATATCTGGTTAAGATGTTTGAGTAAAGTTTAACTTTTTCACGTTGATCCAAATCAGTCCTGAGTAAAATATTTCTTATAGCCGTATCAAGATCGTTCTCTGCCACCTGTTGAATATTTTCACGAGCGCTTGTTGATTGTATTTTGTCCAGCTGATTCTGTGGTACGAGATACATTTTCTCTGCATACTCCATCCTTCAGCCCTGTCTCGAACCGATCAAACTTGAAATAAATGGTATAGCGACGCTTAGGAGTGGTAAAAGAAACCCACCAGTCTGATTAAAGACCTTTTTCTTAGCCGCAATGTTGATTTTTTTATTAGCGAGGAATTTTATCGCAGCCCTCTTCTTTTTCAATTTTCTGTATTGTTGGTTGTTGATCGGTATAACTCCGTGTAGGATGTTGAGAGCGAGTTCGCAGAGAGCTAAAATGAGATCGTCAGATGCTGACTGGAGAATAAGTCGTCTTTGTTTAGCAGTAGATTTATGTAACATTTTTAATACAGGCAAATGTTTACATAGTCTCGCGGACATGGTTCGTTATCACGATCTTCTTTTTTTCTGGAGATAGACCACCTGACGATCTGAAAACAATCCTGTTCTGAGTCGAAATTGTTCAGGTGTTTTAGCTTTATAGTCGATCATGAGATACCCGAAAGGACTCTTGACGGCATCTTGATAACATTCCATAAAATATTTTGTGTTACCAGGATACATTTGACGCCCCAACACCGCAACTTGATTAGCATCGCGGGGGTTTTTAAACAATATTAAATAATTTGTGTTCAAACTGATGGTTCTGCTAGATTTACCTTGAACAAACAAATTTTGTACGATAAGAATTGCAGAGAGATTACGATGATGAACGTATTGCGTGAAGACTTTTTCAATTTCGGAATTACCGCTTGCTTCTTTCATCATATCGTCAATAATCAACAAGTTTGTTTTATCACGGGGTAGTAGATGATCATCCTTCAGACTCTGAGGTATACCTTCAATGAATTTAATGTCATACATTTTAAGCAATTTGTCATACAAAGGTTGCCAACAGTCATACAGAAATAACATTACATTAAATAACAATAACATTTTTACAAAAAAGGACTTCCCTGAATTGGATGGTCCACTTATGACACATGAAAACGGATGTTGAAGTCTGAAATCAAAATCAACCATTTCACGCATTCCTCTATACACTGAATTAAAAGCCATAAGGCAGAGTTGTGTAGTCGGGTAAAAGTCTTCGCTTGTTATACACCACCTTGAACTTTTTAACGACTGATTTGTTGTGGAGTGTGAGGTGTTTTTTATTCCTGACAATGTTGTCAGCTTGAGCTAAAATGTATCGAGAGTCATCGCCTGATGTAACATACCCATCAACCAGACCAATCAATGTGTCTAACCTTATCGTTTGGGAATTTTTAGCATTCAGAGTTATACCCTTAGCTTTCATGCAGACTTTACCGGAAGCGGTACGGTAACCATACGACTTTGGTCCGCTGGAACAAAACTCGGTAATATAATCACCATCGCCTATTTCATCTGTCAAGTCCCCCAAATAATCACCCAGAGGTGGCATCCAGTCACCGGCCTTGGATACAAAAATAACACTATCAGTGTCAGAGTATAATAAACGATCGCCAAGTTTGTCCATCAATTTGTACAATTCTAACCTCGCCCACGAAGTTGTGTATGCTCCTACGAATACGTTAATGTCGCGAAGGGTGAAATTGGACTAATGCTACATCATCTGAGATGAACGTAAAATATTTCAATGCATCAGTTTTACCGAAAACAATCGTGGTGAATTCTTCAGGGTCTCGTACAAGTTGCGTAACCGCATGTAAGATTCCCCTAAATTAGGCACCAGATTCAGCGTGGTTCAGCAAGTCGACTTGGAGACAGGAGAAGAGAACAAACTGTAGTTAGAATGGTTTATTCTGCAGTCTGACAAACACAGGATGGGCAGGGGTATTTATACACACAGGGCTGATAGCAGAAAGGCACTCCAAATATGGGCAAGTCATACAGCATTTCGTGTAAACATGAATCAGCATATTTCATATCTGAGCACAGTGGAAATTTCCAGCGTGGGTGCAGCTGCAAAAATGAAACCAGACCATGGTCTCATATTTCTAACACCTGCAAAACTGAAACCAGACCATGGCCTCATATTTCTGACACACACACACATATACACAAAACCACAAGCACTTCTGCGTCTCATGCAAGCACACCTAAAAGAGGACAAAATGTTCTCTCACCGCATGACGAGATTGCATCGCGAAACGCCCCCAAACCGCGTTAAGAATTAGCTTGTTTATAGCCCTCTGTGGGGGGTTATGAGTGATCTGTGAAGGGTCAAGTTGAATCCCCTCTCGCTCATAGTATTTGCGGATGTATGTCTCTTTTTCAGAATCAGTGGTAACGTTTGAAGGGTATCCGGATGCTTGTTGTTTTAAACGTAAAAACGTTTTAACGTATTCGCTAAACAACTTGTCCGACCTTTCAGGAAAATGCCAAACTTCGTCGACTTTGACCACGACATACCCTTTCTCAATCGCTTTTAAAAGTTCAACACTGACCCAGGACCCACTAAGGGCCCTCTCATCATCCGTATGATTACATCTTGATGTTTGGTTTTCATCGTGTGCGCATGTTCTGCATAACGGGAACATGAGTTTACCGCCGCATCTGTAAGGGAGGACCGGATGTAGTAATTTTCGGGGCGGATACACAGTTGCCTTAATAAGACCGTAATAATTTTCGATCGCCTGAAAGTCGTTGAAAATTATTTCGGGATGACCTATTGGATACGTCTTTGTACTCATAACAAAGGGATAGAGCGATGTAAAATCTAAATAAGAAATGGTCTCCCCCTCCCCCACTTTGTGATACAACTTATAAGCATTGGTACGACCTCCGAAAAGCGCATCTCTGGGTTTCAGTCTTTCAGGCGCCGAATAAGTGCTCATAAATTCTATCACTGAAGGGTCTGTTTGTTTCATTTTAGACCATTCGCATTCCCAGATAATCTCTACTTTCAAGCCATAAGCGTTTTGTAGAATTTCAATTTTTTCGTCAACTTGTCGTCTGAGAACACCAAAGGGTACACCCGACAGGGGGTGGCGTTTGTGAGGCTCATAGCGGCATTGGTGCGCATGAAACAGACACCCCAAAAAATCAAGCCCATACCTTGAACCGCCCTGTTCGTAGTACCCATCTAAAAAGTATTGACCTATTTGCATTTCACCATGATTCAGAGCATGATGAATGTCAACGTTTCTAGTCTTTTTTAAATACTCCAACCATTCAATCGAGACACTCGAGAATGTCTTATTTTGACGAATGTAGGCATTTTCATGGGTTAGAGCAATAGTGTGGTCTTTCAGATAGTGTGTCTTGAAAATTCCCATACAACAACTAGGAAGAGTTGTGTAACTAAATGGATCGATTTGTGTACACTCTATGAACGATTCTCTGTATGTCATGCATGCTTCACGGAGCAAGACAACATCATTTACACCATATTGGCACAACTGTTCCTTGAAGTCGAAAACCTCCCCTGAAGTAGTAGCGTACCACGCATCGAACTTTGCCTGATCTTTTTCCGATAGGTTTTCGTAACCATAATACTTTTTGTCAGGATAAGGTCCTACGTAGTTCTCATTTTCTATTCTATTGAAATGATGCGGAAAGTAGCCTTTTTCTGTTGTGGTGAGATTTAATGCTGCCGGCATCTTAGACAGAGCCATCGGTATGAAGGATATGCTATCTATATAGCGTTGCTTAAATGAAACATCGAACATGAAGATTAATTTACAACCTTTCATGATGATGTCCATTTGAAGCCCTGCTTTACAAAAATATTCAAGAATTAGAAAGGAGTCAAATCTGGATGCGTTATGAGGTATGAAACAATAGCCTTCGTATCTGGGTTTTCTGAAATGATCGATCATTTTTTTCACACACTCAGCCCCCCCGGCTACAAATCTTTCACCAGAAAACGTTATTGCGCAGACAAAATTTGCTACGTGTCTCCCATTTTCATAACGAGTCTCGAAATCGTAAAAGATGTATTTATTCTGAGGGTCTTTGAGTGGTACTGTCTTAATGAAACACTCATGTTCTCCACCCGGGACAAGTTCTTCACGACATGCACCACAGCGGGTTGGTGCACATATGTGTTTAGACTTTTTCTTATCGTAACGCCTATTACATTTCTTGCAGTATTTTATAACGTCGCAAGGTACTTTTTCTCCTTGAAGCATAGGTTTCTTATGTGCATCGTAGCAGTAAGACGATTTGCAGTAGCGCAAACAATCGGTACAATGAATGATTTTTTTAGGTTGCTTGTAACATTCATCGTCAAAGCAGATGTTACAGACGTGTTTGCATTGATGATTTCGTAACGATGTGTACCCCTTATAGCAGAATTCACATACATAATCAGCACCTATGAATGATTTCAGATTGAGAATCATGTAGTAATGTTCGTCTTGTAAATAAAGGTACACCGTTTTGTCGTGAGGCTCGTTGTTATTTACGTATGTTTGTAACACACCGGTGTTTGTCCTATAAAAAACAACAATTTTGATGTCTAGCATGTTTTCAAATTTTGCTATGTCGTGAAAACCGACCTTGTCTTGGATAGCAAGACCCACTTTATTGTGTATGATTGATGCACGGTTTTCTAATTCACACTCTGGTAATTGAGGGTCTAGAAAATGAGCTATACAGATAGAGAAACATAATTTGTTTGAAATATTTGTAGGTATAAACAAGCTCGTCTTTTTTCTTTTGATTACCTGATCAAACGCCAAATCCGTAAGTTTACGACGAACGCCACCTCCTCCTAGTCTGTTCATTACAACCTCTGCTTCAATCTCAACAGTTTCATTATCTGATAACTTATCATCGCTCTGTAAAATTTTTGCAATTTGATCTGTAAAAAGATTAACGTCGTAATTATTACCCGGTGTTAAAACTGCATTTACATCCGATTTCAGGGTGGGTGTTCGAAGGCATAAATTGATGACGCTACCATCACCACCAATCTGTCTAGCGAATGACACAATGTCATCCATGGTATCGTGTAAACGTATGTGGTACGATGCTAAATCCTGAGATCTTATTTCACTCATATTCAATGTCCTACGCAACGATACACTATTGAAACGAGGCCTTGGTAAAACATGATATTCGTTTATATTACCGCCATCTCTCAACAATGTTTCAATGTCTATCTGTCTTGTTGGCCTATGCCTTAAAGCAGTGGTTCTCAAACTGTGGTACGCGTACCATTAGTGGTACGCGGGCTTCCTCCTAGTGGTACGCGGAGGAACCGCTGAATAATGAAAGAAACAATTAACACTTAATCCTTTAATGCGTAATATAACATTGATGTGATCAGCATTGGCTGTTTAGTGAAGCGTACGATCACAACGCTGTGCTTAGAATGTTTATTTTAGTGCATTGTGTCATAAGCTGCTGAAAATCAGCTTCCAAAGTTTAAGAATTGATTCTGAAGCGTGATTTGACTGACATGAAAAGTAGCCAATCACAGTCGACCTTGTCTAGTTGCGTGAAACGTAAGGGCGGGACAAATGCTTTCTGTGTTGCAGAGACAGAAAAAACAACTTAAAAACAAATGTTTTGTTGGAATAATGCTTCTCGGATGTTTTCACTGTAGATATGTTCAACAGAGTAATTAAACCGCGGACATATGTCCTGCCTTTTTGATGATCTACATACACGTTTCGCTCTCCGACAGCCAGTCTGACCTGTCACTCCTCCAAACACATTCTGAATGGCGGCGCGGGAATTGCGGTATTGCGCAATTATTCATTTCTGCAAATGCGGCGAGTGCTTTATTTTAACACGAGAGCGCATTCATGTACGCAAATCGCTAAAACAGATATGCGAGCTCTTAAATATGCTTTTTTCAAATGAACTGCAAGACCTCTCATGATCGCCTGTGTGCTCAGATTGAATACAATCGCGATCTCTCCACTATTAAAGCAAACATTATTTATCTTTGCTCCTTGACTAAATTTAGTCAAAAGTATTAAAAGTTATCAAATATTTAGAATTAGATTGATGCATGATCGATGACAATGCTAATGGTCTTCTTATTTGGCTGTGTTGTGAAGTGAAACTTACTTTTAGCAAGGTGAAATTTTTTTTATTTCTTTACGACAAAAGAATTATGCTGGAAATGTTTCTGGATGAGGTATTTGTGTGATTTACACATTTAGCTGTATTCTGATCTGTCCTAAAGCATTACAGGTCAAAGCAATTCTTTGTTTCTTATTGTTTATTTATCAAAATTAACAATAAGGCTCTGAGGCTTAAAGCACTGCTTTGATAAATGTAGTGTCGTCATATTTCAAATACCTCAAGTAAAATGAAGCCATTTGTTTTATTTTTTTACTGACAGTGTACTTGTATTTTTTTAAAGTTCTATTTTAGATTAAGATCAAGTGTAAAATAAAATCTACATGTGATGTACAGCTATTTAAGAAACAAATTTGTCATATTGTAAAGAAAAATAGTGTAAAATATGTAAATAAAAGGCCAAATTAAATCTTTTTACCATATACTTTAATTTAACCTTTCAAAGCTTGAAAATATCGTTTATAAAAATGGGCAAAAAGTGTCTCTATGGCCTTAAAGATTATGTGGTAGTTTTACCAGTGCTATTGAAAAAGATTAATTGTCATGAAAGGAAAAATCGACCATACTTCCTTTGTTAGTACAAATTCCTATACATGTAGCTTTGGATTTAAGCAATTAAACCATTCAATCAGGTTTAAACTTAAAAAAAGTGATTTCATAATGAAAATCTGATTTTTTTTTTTTTTTCAAAAGTAACCAACTAGTACTTTTTAAAAGAGTACTTTGTACTTTTACCTAATATTAGTATTATTTACTAACATTTTTGTTATTTTAGCAGTGTAATAGTACTTGAGAAAGATTTCACAAGCATTTAATGCAGGTTTATTATATTATTAATATATGATTCATAAATATTATTATTAAGTGTTTTTATTTGTATCTATTCATATGCAATGTTTTATGGGTTGCTGAGAATACATTTCAGGTCTTCAGTACATAGCATGTCAGTCTTGAAAAAAAAAATAGGTGCTGGAAAAAGTGCTTAAAATTCCTTGATTTTCATAAGGCTGTGCCTGTATGAACCCTGTCATATGTACATTGACCATATATTTCAAGATTTGTCTGAAAGTGTAGGAATATGACATATAGCCTATATTCATAAGGTCCAAGCAACATGTCCAGCTTTTGATGAATAGGCTACTATGAATACTTTAGATTTAAGTACAGCAGTTTTCCTTTTACTTTTTATCTTTTTACTTTTTTTCATTTTTAATGAACTTTTAAAAGCATATTTTAACTAAAACTTTTTTTTTTATCTGCAAGCACAGTTAATGTTCAGACTATTTCAAATGTTTAAAGTGATTGACAATAATACATATTCTTAATAATAGGAATTAATTTGCATCATTTTTAAACTGTGCACACCTGTAGCTGCTTAATTAGGCCTACAACGCTATTTTTTAATACTGGTTAAAAAATAGCATCGTAAGGTGGTACTTGGAGAGACAATTTTTTTCTAAGGTGGTACTTGGTGAAAAAAGTTTGAGAACCACTGCCTTAAAGGCTCCGCAACATTTGAGGTTGATGGTTGTTCATCATCGACATTTGACTGGTGTGTTGATTCAATATCAGTCCTACCGTGTGTTGCATGGCTAGTTGAATGACTGTCGTCGTCATCATCATCATCATCATCAAAACCATCATCTGTCAGTTGGCTGTTAACAGTAGCAGAAGCACTAGTTTCCTGAGTGACTGCACCACCGCTCTGTTCACTGTTTAAAAAAGATTCAACATCTTCAGGCAAATTTAAATTCAATTCCTGTTCTATATACATTTCCAAATCATCCAGATTTGTAATTTGTGAAATAGGAATATTGTTAAATGTTATGTCTCTAGAATTTGGATACATATCAATCATATGCTGAAGAGATGCAAATATGTCTTCATCTCTGTCTGCATCCATTTCGACACCTCTTTGCAGTCTAACAGATAGAGTTTGGTCTGGTTGAATATTGTATGTATCATCTGTACGATTTTCATCATCCATTGTAATTTTTGATTTATTTTATTATTATTTTACAAATATTTTTGTTAATGTTTATTTTATTTCAGACTTTTATGTTTAAATTAGTTTTATTGGTTTTTTTAGAATTATTTTGTTTTGTTATTAGATTTATTTTATTGTTTAACTTTTTTCTTTTGTATTTTATTTATTGTTTTATTTACATTTATCGTTTATTTGATTGCTTAAGTTTTCATTTTATTTATATTTGTTGTTTATTTTAGGATTAATATTTGTTGTGTTTATACAATTCAATCTTTATTTATACATATTTAACCATGTTATTAGAAATGGATGTGTGTCAATAATAGGAATACAATTATGAAGTAATGTATATGATTAGCTAGAATAAAACACAATGAAATATTTTATTACATCAATTTTAAAAGTTCAAACACTAAGTTCACAATAAAAACAAACTCCAAGGAATACAAATTTAATATAAATCAACAGCAAAAGTTAAAAAACTAAACAGCTGAGTCAATTTAAAGTTCATCAAAATGTTAAACTGAATTAAAATACATCGGTATTACATCAAATTTAAACTCATACACTAAACAAATGAGTAAGTTCACAATAAAACAATCACAATTGAATAAACATTTAATATAGATCAACAGTTAAACATTTAAGGCAATTTGGAGTACATCAAAATGTTAAGCAGAATAAAACTTGAAAATGGTTTTGTATTACATCAAAAGTTAAAACACTACCAGTTAAATCAATTTAAAGTACATCAAAATGTTAAGTTGAATCAAAATACATTTGTATTACATCAATTTTAAAAGCTCAAACACTAAACAAATGATTAAGTTCGTAATAAAAAGAAAGGCAAAGGAGTACAACATCTAAAGTTAAAACACTAAACAACTAAAGTCGATTAAAATTAGAAACGTAAGACAAGTATAGCATTTATCAGAGTATAAAATATGGACTTTTAAGTAGTACAATGATGAATGATCGTACAGATGATGAGAATATTTCTTTTAGGAATTATTCATCCATCAATGAATGCCTAATAAAAATGAGTAGTTTCGTTATTAACCGATGCCCCCGTTCACTTTTACCCATCAATTGTTGAAGCTCCCCAATTTTTTCATCCATACGTCGCTGTTGCTCAGACAAGAAATCCTTGACATTTTCTATCACACGCTGCTGCTGGCCAATAGAATCCGCTAGAGCATTAATTTTTACCTCATATCTGTCTAGATATTCACGAATCAGACAATAAGCAGGCGACTCGAAAAAGTCTTTGATATTGCTGTGTTTGCTGACGCTACCGGCCTTCTGCTGGGGGCGCTGTGGTCTTTCGACGTCTTCCGCGTCTTCTTCTTCTTCTTCTTCTTCTTCTTCTACTGGTGCTTGAAAGGGATAAATCGGCTGATGTGCGCCTCCCTGAGTTGATTCATGATGACCGCTGTTGGAAGCACCTTGTTCGCACCATGTATCTGTAATAAAAAGAAATCAAAATATTGTTTAGTATTGAACGATAAATAATACTTAACAATAAAATAATATTCATTTGTTTTCATTCAACAGTAATTATGTTTATTATATTCTCATTATATTGTCATAATCAATTAAATAAATGGAACACTAACCTTCAGATAAATTAAAATTAATAGCAGAAGGATTTGGTTCTGATGGACTGGCATAAGGACTTAGTGGGCTAGCAAGAGGTGTCCATGGATCTGTGTGTGTGTGAAAATATGAAAATAATAGCGTTACGCCTGTTATTAAGTGTTTGAAACAAACAAACAAAAATAGGTTATTACCTGATTCTGCGTCTTCATCATCATCCTCATCGGTATCGTATTCTTCTTGCACAGGTGTTTCAGAAATTTTTTGCCTTTTATTTACATATGGTGTGTAAACAATTCTTGGTCTCTTAGGGGCAGAAGTCCCCGGCGCTGCATCAAACTTTTCTTCTCGCAATGATTCTTGTTGCCCTGCAATCTTTTCTTCTTCTTCTTCCACCGTCAAGTCGATAACTTCAATTTTCGCTAAAATAGGAGAATGACAAAAAAAAAAAAAATACAAGTTATTACTCATTCCTACAGTAAACAATAGTGATCCCACATCCGTCAGTGCTGTGGCCTATGCATAGCGCATTCGACCGGTAACCGAGCCTTGTCGCAACAGGCGGTTCGAATCCACTAAACAACAAAAATTTTAATTTATTTTAAATAAAAAGCATACCTTTTTGCGTTTGATTATCAAACATGTGAGTCGAAGAGGCTATAAGAAAAAGAGAAACGTAAGTAACAATAATGATAAAATAAAAAACTATTGTCTAAATATCTTCAAAACAATAAATATAATTATGGAATAATACTTACAAATACGATTGATGGCATCAAATGCTTCACTTTCGGAAGGATTTATTTCTGTAAGACATAAGCTGATAGAATGAAAATATATCAAACACTGGTTAATGAGGTAGTATACAAACCGCTAGGCAGATGAAAATATATCAATTTCTACTCACGCAATTCCATATCTTGTTCAAAAGTGGCAGAGTTGACCCTCTTCAGAAGTTCCAGTTGTTATGACAGTGTAACTGCGGATTCAAGTTTACTGTGAATAAGATATGTAAAGGGGGCCTTTTTATGTCAAATGTCGAGAGGCCTTGTCGTTTGTTTAAAAGCTGGTTCGGAACGATAAGGGGGCACCCAAAAAAATTAAATAACCTGACCACGTCAATATTATACTTTATTATATGAAACTATATACAATCTAATAGATAGTGATAAAACGTAACGACACAAAATATTCATGTAATGTCTTTAATCTTGCTGAAAAACACAAATGAACTTGGTGTAATGCTTTAGTGTAGATATTTGATATACTTATAAAAAAAAAAAATTCTTTCAATATTTTGACTGTTTAAAATTTATACCATACATTATTTCATACTCAGGATAACTATCGTTTTGATAGACTATAATAAAACATATATTTTATTTAGATATGTGTGTGTGAATGAAAATTTAAAAATTATAAATATTGTTGTATTACATTTGTATTCATATTCTATATAAATGGATGAATGATAAAAAAATAATTCGTTGATGTGATAGAATATTTACATCACATATTTTAACATTTTCGTTTATAATATATAATTAACATAGTCTTTGATATTACCAATATTAAAAATACTTATAATACATAACATTAAATTAGTATACAATTTTTTGTTAAAAGTTAATACAATAAAACGTTGTATTCACAACTATTCTTTCAAAGTTACCGCGTTAACCAACAAATATATTATTTTCGGCAATAAAATATAATAAAGAATGACTAGTACATTTTTCATAGTGTGACCAATAGATGGTGCTAGATAGCCTTGTATGAACTCTGTATGTTTTCGTAATATGTTACACACCCTGTTTCGTGGAAAAATACTAGTCATTTATCATAAACATCAATATGCGACGAGTCAACAGTCGAACGCGCTTTTTTCTTATCGAGCAAACCATACATGGGTTGTGACTTGGGACATTTCATATTAGCATCAAAATTACAAGACTCTTTATAAAAGTTTAATATTCCTGTAATATAAGACGTTGTTGAAACAAAATATGAATCTTTTCATGTATAAAATTTAACGCGTTAAAACTATACATTACACTTTAGGAATATATCTATTACTGTTCAGTACGATTTAAATGATATTAATTAATGTTTAAACATATAAAGATTGATAGTGGTTATTAAGTGAGCTGTCAAATATGATTGAAAATTACTCTTGACCTAAAATTGCATAGTGCATTGATATGTAATACAACTAAAATCGAATATCATATTTTAGTTTTTCAAAAACAAAACAAAAATAGTTGTGTATATAAATATATATATGTATACACACACACACACACACACACACACACACACACACACACACACACACACACACACACACACACACACATTTATTTGTGTAAATATGTTATATAAATGTTAAACAAAAACAAATTTTAATCTTATTACCGTTTGATCTTTATGTTATATTGTATTCAATAATAATAGTGTTATACCTGTTAAACACAAAACCGTATGTTAATCATCTTATTACAGATTGATTGTTATATTATATTGTTTGTATTATATAATAATCAATAATATTAATGTTATACATATGTTAAACATAAAAACACATGTTAATTATCTTACTTTCTAATGAACATCATGGTGAACCGCTACACTATAAAATAATAATAATATTAATACTAATATTAATACTATTAATAATAAATTAGCTGATGTATATTTTATTTATTGTGTGCTTTAAGCCTTAATAAAAAATGATCATGAGGCCCCCCTCTCACTCTTCACCCTGTAGGCTTATTATCACACACACACACACACACACACGCACACACACACACACAGACACACACACACACACACACAGACACACACACGCACGCATGCACACAGGCACGCACGCACGCACACACAGTCACACACACACACACACACACACACACATATATGCATACAGTTGACTGTATGTTAACAGTTTATTAATTATAATATAATATAATATAATAATATAATAATATAATGATATAATATAATATAATAATGTAATACTATAGTATAATTGAATAATCATGATATATAATATAATATAATTAAATTTAATATAAATATTAATATTATAATAATATAATATAATAATATATTATAATATAAGTTAATAACATAATGATTTATTATAACTTAATATGATATAATATAATACAATACAAAATATTATTTAATAAAATATTAATTTTATACAGTTTAATATAATATAATATAATTTGATGTAATATAATAAATATAATTTACAACACTAATTAAATATAAAATAATGGTTCTAATAACAGTAATTGAATTACCGATATTATTATAATATTAATTTTATTTCTGTTTGATTAAAATCTAATTACCAATATTTTCATTACCTGGAAATAGCCTATTAATTTAATTAGTCTGATAAAAATCTAATTACCGGAATTATTATTTTATATTAAACCGATAAGAATCTAATTACCGGAATTATTATTTTATATTAAACCGATAAGAATCTAATTACCGGAATTATTATTTTATATTAAACCGATAAGAATCTAATTACCGGAACTATAAAGTTTATATAAAAGGGGCGGGGCTTAGACCGAAAGTCCCGCCTTAGGGGGCGGGGCTACAATCCATCAAACTTTTTGACAGATGCCCCATCATAATTCTCTCTCTTACCTGAATGTTTTCCACTCTGAATATAAAAACTTTATCTGAGCATTTCACTTGGAAAAGTGATGTTTAAAACACTATTCATTAAACTTACTGCATGACTGGAGCTTTATTTTTACAAACCAATAGCATTGACCTAATTCAAGCTTTTGATTTTCCACTCTGTAGCAGTTTTTCAACACAAAATGTAAACTTTTTTATGCTAAAAATCTGTAATTTTGTGCAACTGTGTTGTATGTTACAAAGCATACTGTCAGTTTTCAAAAGTCACCTAACGTTGTTTCCATTCTTCTGGGTTTTTTTTTTTTTAGGAACAACGATGATTCATTTGGGGGGAAAGAAAAAAAGTAATGTCTTGAAATACATTGGTTACACCAATATGGTGTAATGGTTAGAATTTCTGGGTTTCATCCAGACGGCGTGGGCTCAACTCATGATTTGGGGATATATATATATATATATTTTTTTTTGACCTAAAGTGTACCAAGTAACATTTATAACAACACTTAGTCCCAGTTATTTGTGTCATAGTTGAATGCTTTACTCAATACTGTCAACAAAGCACAATAATATCAAAGAGTAAACACATTTTATTTTAAGAATACTTTGCAGTAAACTTTATTGCATGAATAAGTTTATTTTATCTACCTTCTGATACAGAATGTTTTTGAAACATTTAATTATGTTTTTACGACCACGGGTATCTAACCAAAATATTTCACCTAATTCAAGTAACCAGTGCTGTAGTTTTTAAACACAAAATGTCTTTGCTAACTTTTTTTGCATATGTGTTAAAAGTCTAATTTTACACAACTCTCATAGCATCTGTTACGATGCATACAGTAAAAGTCACAATAACCATTTCTACTGCCAATTATCTTTTGTTGTCTAATTCTTCACAATATTTTTTTCACGAGAACTATGAATCTACAAAGGCAAGGCAAGGCAAGGCAAGGCAAGACAAGGCAAGTTTATTTCTATAACACATTTTATACATAGTGGCAATTCAAAGTGCTTTACATAAACAGGAACAAAAGAGACATGTTTCAGAAAAATAAAAACAAATAATAAAAAAATATTAAAAATGATAAAAACAGATCAAATGTGTTAAAACAAGTTATAAAAGAATGAAAAGAAGAGAAAAACATAATACTGTGATCCGTCAATAGTGCGATCTGTCTACAAAACTAAATGCATATTTGCCACTAAATCTGCATTAACATCTTTTTGCAACAGTATCTAATGTACTGTGTATTAGAAATGTTTTCTTTTGAACTGTCATGAAATTTTGAGTTGTAAATTTTTTGGTTAGAGACAACAAACAATATAATGTATACCTTTTGTTCATTCTCTTTTTCATATGAAAGAGAAATTATGAAATTGTACATCAGTGCATCTTTAAAACTAAATTGGGCAAAAAAATTTTAGGTTGTCTTTCTAAACTGACTACAAAACCATTATACATGAGAAGTGTGTGTTATTGGGTTGTCTTAAACGTTAACCAACCCTAATAAATGATCTACAGTTTATACCTTTATGCTTTAGACAAGTAACCAATCCTTGACACACTTTGCAACATTCTAATTTTCTAAATATTTAATTATACATTTGGCATAAATACAGGGTTTTAATCAGTTTTGACAATGTTTCTATGATTTGTTTCACACCAACATGTTTTGCACCTAGCTCAATTTATAACTTTTTTTTTTTTTTTTTTTTTACAGGAAAGGCATAGACACTTGAGTTGATAAACTTTTATTTCAAATAAATATACACTGAAATAGAGTAGTACATAATGAACAAACATGGATTGCATTACAATAATAAAGACAAATTAAATAAGAAAAAAAAATACGTATATACAGACATACATTGAAGAAAAAACAGGGTACACCAGGACAATAACGACATTACTGAATATCTAACCAACAAAGAAATGCTACTAAAAGCATTCTGTCATGTTCTAGTATGTGGTTGGTCATAACTTCCACAATCTCAGCAATATTTGTTATTTTGTTTTGCGAAACCAGCGACACACAAATATCTGTTATATATGTAGACATACATAGAACCTGCGTTACCCACAGCTCATCACTCAATTCAGTCAGCACCCTCCAGAATTTTTGTATTGGTTGCACAGACAGCACCATTGCTACGAAAACACAGGTGTGTCAATTGATTTATCGTATCGGCACATGAGTTTAAGGCCCCTCTCACAACGTCCAT